ATATTAGTAATCGCAACGTTTAGTTGCATCTGCATTCCTGCCTGCATACGTAAGTACTCAAAATTATTTGTATTTTGAATCATTTTTCATTAAATCATAAAATCACGACTAGAAATTGATCGATAAATTATTTTTTGGAAAACAATTGACATTTTCCGTGAGTGATAAACGTACTTATTCGAAGTTATTTTTTGTTCATTTGTGAGGTTCTGATCTCGAGAATGAGCATTCAATTAAATGTACATAAATTAATAATAACACGTACAAGCTTGAAAAAAGTGATATTGATATTTTTTCTGCCGCCGTTAGTACAATTTTTTGCTAGGGTGCATGATATTGGCGCTTTTGAAATTTGAAACCTGGTAAAAAATCGTATTGGAACGAAGTCATTCTTTAATAATATTAGCAAACAAATCTTTTCACTCGTAAGGCGACTGTATCTTTCAGGCTGACAATGTATTCAACGATTACATTTTTTGTGCTTTTCAGTAGCTATTAATATTTGCAAGTGCTCAAATCCCAATGTAATGTAAACCGCTAAGTATAATTTCGCTAGAGCGCTGCTTTTTACAAAAGTTTCTATTAACACCTATTCATCTGCTCAAAAATATGTTCCTACAAATGGTAGATTTTCAGCACTTGGTCTCCGTTTTTATAAACGCATAATTAAGATACATAAAAATCAGAGCTTTATACATGAATATTTTTAGTAAAAAAATCTAAATCCATCATCAACAATATAGAGGAGAAATACAATACTGATCGTCATACCCAGTAATAAATGTTATGTAGGAGAAATATAGATTCACAGTGTAAAGTATAAGCAAGCCTATTATGTACAAAAACTTGAAAAAGTAAAGTAGCTTTAAGGTGTAGCTATTTTTATCCGTGCATTTATTATCTTTCTTATTCGGAGTAGTATATGGAGTAGCTGCAATCTAGCATTGCTTTTCAATCCTAAAGTAATTACAATTCTTACCATCGCTTTTTTCCGACATGCATTCGCAATAAAAAGCGTATTCAGAAGAATCTGGCACTGCAAATTATCAGTTTTTTTATGCGCGGATACGGATTATTATTTGCTCCTTTGTATACGGCAGAAATCAACATGTCCAGAATCAAATTATTGCAAGCATCTTCAAAAATCTAATTAGATAATTTTATCCAACTGTAAATAATGACAAAGTTTTTAGATAGTGAAAATAACTTACTTATTTTATTGTAATAAGTTACTTATTTATAGTGATATGCTATTCCAATGTAGTGCAGTGGTGTACTTGAATATGTGTAAGTATAATGCTGTACATTATTATCCAGCGTATTCTCGTCAACACGAAATAATGGCAATAGTAAACACAAGCTGTTCACTGTAGCTGCAGCTGCCGTATCAGAGTATTTATAAATTTTGTTTTCAAAATCACGATTTGATTGTTAGTGCAATAGTGAGTTGATAATATTAATGACAAAATGTATAATGAAGGATGTGCAGGCTGCACCTGAAAAATGCAAAATTTTGATGAAATGATTAATACTAAATCAAACTTATTATGGCGATTTAAACAATTAAATTGTTAATAACTAATTGTCTATTGATTTTATGACAAGCTGACCAAAAAAATTCGGATTCAGGAGCTCAAAATACATAAAGAGCACTTGGTTGGAGTCCGTTACCCTCCCCTGGGCTACGAAAGCCCCCTTGGCTCCTAGACTATTTAAAAAAAAGTGATATCCATGTAGTGTATGTAAAATATGCATAACGATTTCCACATTTTCTTATACTAACACTTGCGAGTTTAAATGACCTAGAAATGACATGTGAATAACCAGAGAAAAAATAATTACAAATATTTAATTAAAATTATAAGCTTAATATGTCACTTATTGTCAATATGTATTCTTGAAAATTATTAAATAACTCCAAAAAAATCACTCTAACTTTAAATTCGATCAATTTTAGTCATGAAGCTTAAAGAAAATGAATATCATAAAATTTTGTATATTTGTAGGTAAAATTATTACTGGCACATACAGATAATTATAAAAATGAAAAAGCGCTCTTCTATTCATTTCCCCAGGAAAAAGCCAGAAAAACGTCAAAAATTTGACAGTCGTAAGCTCGACGAAAGGTCAAAAACTAAAAATCGTAATATTCCCAAAATCAACGGCTATGGGATTGAAAATTACGCCTTTTATCAGGAGTCATGGGTCAAACATCCCTTTATATATCCATGGTTAATAAAAGAGGACGTATGGTCGTTTCACTGTAACTGTTGTAAAGTAGACCCAATAGGCGCAACGAAAAGAAACGTAACTAGGCATGGAACGAGTACGGCTCACATAAAAAATCTTTTAATTGCGCAAGAAAAAAGGTTAGTACACGTTGCTTTGAATGCTCCCGTCTCCCCAGCGCCGAAAAAGACGACGAATGTAACGACTCATTCGTCGAAACCAGTAATAGATTCTTCTTGTGATAGTAAACTGCTCACGAAAGAAGCTCACTCAAACTATGGTAAAATAGATCCAAAGAAAGATCTTTTTATGAATGAGTGGATACAGGAAAAAAATGAAAAATTTTATTGTAAAGTATGCGATGAATCGATGACCACTATTGTTGAAACTCTGGATACCGCAATAGAACACGGGTTGGATACTAATCATTTGAAAAATTTACTTCAAATGAGAGAAAAATTTAAGAATCTTAAAAAACAAACTGGGTTTCAGGCAAAAAGTTGCCCTTCCCAATCAGACAAAAATTCGATGAATGAAATCTCCAAACTCCCAGACGAATTTTCAAGTGAAGTGAATGAATATGAAAGTTTTTCAGGCGAATCTACAAATACTTCGATGAATGAAAGTTTCGAATTCCCGGACAATTTCGTGAATGAAACCAACGTAATACCAACAATCAAAAGCTCTTCAAAAACAAACCCAACAAAAAAAAACATAAAAAAAGAATTAAAAGAGCACAAGCGAAAGGCAAAAAAATGAGCAAGACAGGAAAAAGTGTAAAGCGGAGCTTGAGTTTTTAGGGATGATTATATGCGAGGATAAGTCGTTTACATTTGGTGAAAGACTTATAAAATTTTTAAAACTTAAAGTTTCAGACTCGGAGACATTATTATCAATGTCCTTAGACAGAAAAAAAATTCCAGCAATTGCGAGAAAAATCTATGCTCCCGCTCATAAAAAACGGATGACGCAAATATTGACATCGAACCGCTTTTCTTTTTCTATTGATGAATGCACAGACGTCAGCGACAATGGTTTAATTTGCATAATCGTACGATACCAAGATGAAGAAAAAAAAGAAATTCGTGATACCCTCTGGGATTTAATTTCAGTTCACCAAGGCAATGAAAAAACGGCGAAAGCTAACGGCAAAAATATAGCAGCTGCTGTTATAAAAACATTTATAGATGCGGAAATTCCGCTAGAAAATATTGACGCCTTTTGCGCCGATACCTGTAACTTGATGATGGGTACTGGAAAAGAGGGTAAGTCAGTCGCTAGTCAGTTAAAAAGTTACATTCCGCATTTAAAAATTATTAAATATGGTTATCACATTGAGAATTTGATCTCAAAAGAAGTTGAAAAGGTTTTACCAAAACAATTTTTCGACGTAATACATGCCGTGCCAAACTATGTAGCTCGAAGCTCTTCAAGAACGTTTAATTGGGCTTTTCTTCAAACGAGATTGAAATTAGCACCATTAAAATTATTACAATATTGTCAAACGCGGTAGTGTTCGAATTATAATGTTATTCTTCGTATACTCCGAAGATGGGAGCCAATCCTCGTTTTCTTTCAAAGGGAATGCGAAGAGACACCCTCGAACAAGATTCACATGGACAATTGTGAAGAGGAAGAGCAAAAAAAGAAAAAGAGGGAGATAATGAGGAAAAAAAAGAAAAAGATAAGAGTGCTAAAGATCCTGCATGGATATTACAACATTTACTAAATGAGGAGATGTATGCTTTCATGCTCTTTTTAGAGGCATTACTATCTCGACTGACAAAGGTCAACTTAACTTTGCAATCGGAAGAGCCTATCGTACCAGAATACAACGGTACGATGGCTGATACCTATCTTGACATTTTGAAAATGTTCATGGAGGATGAGTATGTAAAAAACACTCCCATTAATAACATCAATCCCAATAATGCTCAGCATTACAAAGATCTCAGTCAAATTTACATAGGACAAAATACTCAGCGTCACTTATCAAATTGTGGTGTAAGAATAAATTTTGAAAATTTTCTCATTACGTGCAGAAAAGTATTGATCAGGTTGTGCATAAAAACCAAGGAAAAGTGTAACTTTAACAACTATGAGTTCTATTTTCATATAAATAATGTTCTGAATAAAGAGTTTCACGAAAAAAAAATATTACTCTAGACCAGCCGATATCTGAATTTTTTCATGTAGCATTTGATAATAATATTATTAATAAAGAATGGTCAAACTTAAGTGACTATAATTTTCCCGATGAACTCAAAGAAAATTTAGAAAATACTAAAAGATTAGATAAGTTTTGGTTTCTTTTAAAAAGTTATCAAGATCATAGTTGTTGTATCTCAATGATTATGCCAGAATTATAACTCAAAAATAGATGGTTTTATTCAATTAAGTTACAAACGTCAAACTCAAACGAAAGTTAGCGAAAGACAGACTAGACGCAATCTTCAAGATGTTGATCACATACGTCGATACTCATTTGTTAAGAATTATACATTACATTCCTCCACCTTTTAGAATAGACATATAAACGTCATAGAACATTATAAATCAAGAACTTTTCTAGCTTTAACTACTCTAGTTGAACGTCGTAAAATTGTTGGCTCTGTAACATTGGTTTGAGGTTCTAACACGCGATTACTTGGAATAGCAATATTCGATTTCGGACTACATGCATTTTCTATAATTTGTGATTGATCTCTACTCGCTGCTCTTTCTAAATTGCTCTCACACTCTATCAACTTCTCTCTGTCATTCAAATCATTCTAAGTTACAATAGCAATAGGACTATTACATTTTTCTGGTGTTCTTAAATTATGACTATCGCTCATTGACAAATTACATGCTCGCAATTGATCTACATGACGCTTCCATACTCGTTGATCATCCGTTGTGACATTATAGGTAACCGGATTGACCTGCTTATCAACTTTAACTTTTCGCCAATTACCATTCGCATAGTCTCTCGCCATAACTACTTCTTTCTCATCAAAAGTCACATTCCTGTTACCCTTGAAATTTTTTCTTTGCTCTTGTTGTTTGTGATAAACGTTATTTTTTACTTTCTCTTTTAACAAGTCCCATCTTGTACGAAATTTCCTGCCAATTTGCAACTTAGCTGGACTTACACCTGTTGTACAATGTGGAGACGATCGATAATGAAACAAATACTTAGCAAGGGCTTCTTTTCTTGATGAACATTCTTTGTTCAGTATTTTAATCTTAGCCTTAAAAGTTTTCACTGCATTTTCAGCGGCTGCATTACTAGCTGGATGGTAAGGTGCAGTTTTTTTATGTGAAACTCCATTAGAAATCATAAATTCTTCAAACAACTTAGAAGTGAACGTTGGGTCATTGTCTGTAACCAATGTGTTTGGTATTCCCCACGTGGCAAAGTAATCTCTAAAAACATCTATAGTTGTTTCAGTTATAATATTATTCAATTCTCGTATATCAATCCACTTTGAATGACTATCTAGAATAACAATAAACATTTTTCCATCAATTGGACCACAGAAATCTGCGTGTAAACGCTGATTTGCATTTTCTGGCCAACTCCAAACATGTAAAGAAGTTTTAGGTGGATTAGTAGCACTAACAAGACACAATTCACATTGTTTACATTTATTCTCAATCTGTAAGTCCATCATTGGCCACCAGATATATGAGCGAGCTAACATTTTCATACGTACAACACCCATGTATGAACTATGAAGTTCACTTATCATATCTTCTCTGAGAGATGAAGGCACACATACACGATAACCCCACATAACACAACCATTTTCCAATGTTAATTCTTGTTCTTTTCGCTTGTAAGGCAACAATCTATCGTGAACGTTTTTAGGCCAACCACGCAATAAATATTTCTTCACTAAACTCAAAATTAGATCTTTGTCTGTCTCACTGCGAATAGTATCTAATGAAAACGTTCTCACTCCTTCGTTAAAATAATTCAAATACGAATATTCTTCAGTCTTATAGTTGCTATTATTTTGAATAGGAAATCTCGATAAAAAACCATCGCTCTCATTTTCAACTCCTTTAATGTATCTAATTTCATAATCATACCCAGCTAATATTAAACTCCACCGTTCTACTCTATTCACGGCCATTGCCGGTAACCCTTTCTTATCTCCAAAAATATATATAAGTGGCTTGTGGTCTGTCTCGAGAATAAAATGCCTACCATATAGATATTGATAAAAAGTTCTTACGCCAAATACCAAAGCGAGAGCCTCCTTATCAAGCTGCGAATAATTCCGCTCGGACGGTGAAAGTGATCTTGACGCAAATGCAATTGGTTTCGTATTGCCATCATGAAAAATATGTGATAATACCGCTCCAACTCCCACAGGTGATGCATCACAGGTAACTTTGACAGGTAACTGCGTATCATAATGTACCAAAACCTGGTGAGAACTCAATTTCGCCTTCGCTTGTTCAAATGTTTGATGACACTCTTCAGTCCATTTCCAACGAACATCTTGTCTGAGTAACCTATATAACGGGCTAACAACGAATGAATAATTTTGAATGAATTTTGAATGATAATTCATCATTCCTAAAAAGACTTGGAGTTCTTTTACATTATTTGGTGGCTTAACTTTTCTTATTGCTTGAACTTTCTTGTCCGAAACATGAATACCTTCGGCATCGATCGTATGACCTAAAAAATCAACCTTTGGTTTTGCAAAAATACATTTACTTTTTCTTACTGTCAACCCTGCATCACTGAATCGCAATAAAACTTCTCTCAATCTAGTATCATGCTCTTGAACATTTTTTCCTATAATCAGAATATCGTCAAAAAATTTTAATACACCAGGAATGCCTTTCAACATTTCTTCAATTTCTCCTTGAAAAATACCAGGTGCTGTAGCTACGCCAAAAACAAGTCTTTTATATTTAAGAAGTCCCTTGTGAGTATTGATTGTTGTTAGTTTTTGCGATTCTTCATCGAGTAAAAATTGTTGATATGCATTCATCAAATCAAGTTTTGTTAAAATTGTTCCTCCTTTCAGCATTGCTAACAAGTCTTGTGTTCTTGGAATAGGATGTCTATTTACAATTAAATATCGATTCACAGTAATTTTATAGTTTCCGCAAATTCTTACTTGACCATTAGATTTCAATATGGGCACTATTGGTGTTGCCCATTCACTTGACTCAACTTTCTCTGCAACTCCCGACTTAATTAACCTATCAATTTCCATTTCCACTTTTTCTCGCAATGCATACGGCACAGGGTGCGGTTTACAAAATTTCGGTACTGCATTCGGTTTCAATTCCAACTTAAATGTACGCTTATTATACGTTCTTAATTCATCGTTAAATACATTTCCAAATTCTTTAACAATTTCCGCAAATCTACTCTCACATTCATTGATTGTTTTGATTTCATTCATCTTACATTCAAAGTTCTTAATAATCCCTAGTACCTCCAACCAATCCCTACCTAAAATTGGCTTACTATTACCAGGCAAAACATACAATAGCAAATCATAATCTTTCTCAAAAAACAATATCCTAACTTTAACCAAACCAATCGGTACAATAACATCACCAGAGTAACTTTTAAAAATTCGCTTCGTTTCATTCATTTCCAATCTTTTCAATTCTTGTCTACTAAAAAAATAAGAGCTTGACATTGCCGTAATTGGTGATCCTGTATCAATTTCAAAAGTATTTGTAACATTTTCAACAACTAAATTAATCTCTAACGGTTTAACTTTCATCTTGTTTTCAAATTCAACTAAGTGATACAGATTGTCAAATTCTTCTTCAACGCTATCTACCTCATCAATATAATTCTGTTTCAAATTCGTTCTATTCAAATTATTAGCTCTATTTCCATTTCTATTATTACTATAACCCTGATTATTTGTCCGTCCATTATCATAATTAGCCTGACTATTCAACCGAAAATTACTTGCACTCCGACTATTTAAACCTGACTGTGACTTTGCTACTTTACAAACGATAGCCAAATGACCTACTTCTTGACAATTATTACATTTATAATCGCGATACCTACAAGTTGCTTTTCTATGGTTAGCTTTCTCACAACAATAACATCTATTACCACTACCACTACTATAACTCTGTTGATCGCTCGCGCTCGCTTTATCGCTTTGATACGCATTCTTGTTCTTCTTATCCGTTACATAGTTGACCGTCGTTGAATATGCCGCTGCCGTTGATTCTCCCAGCATGCCCTCTGCATCGCGTGTCGCCGTTTCCGTGGATTGAGGCAGTAGCACCGCTGAATCAAACGTCAACGCCTTTTCTTTGAGTAGCTGCTTCTTTGTTGATTTGCATGAAACGCCAAAAACAAACTGGTCTCGCAAATAAGTTTTCAATTCTGTACCAAAATTACAATTCATAGACAATTTTTTCAAATTGGCAACAAACGTTTTAATATCTTCGCCCTCTTTTTGTCGGCATTTTTTGAATGCATAACGCTCGCTTATTTCACTAGGTTCAGGCTTGAGATGATTTTTCAAAGTTTCAGTGAGCGCTGCATAATTTTTACTTGCGGGCTTATCAGGCGTACATAATTCTCTTAATAAAGCATAACCTTTGTTACCCAAAAATGTAATTAGTAAAGGAACCTTCTTTTCATCTTTGACTTCATTAGCCATGAAAAACTGCTCCAATCGCTCTTGCCACAACTCCCAATCTTCCGCCAGATCATACTCAGCAATCGTGCCAATATAAGCTTGGACAGCCATCGTATCATCGACCTTTTTCTCACTCACAGCCTCATTGACAAAAACGGTATTATTGTCCTCTGAATCAGAATCTTCTACATTTCCATTAAATCACCAGTTCATCCTCGTCGCCAATTGTTGTATCTCAATGATTATGCCAGAATTATAACTCAAAAATAGATGGTTTTATTCAATTAAGTTACAAACGTCAAACTCAAACGAAAGTTAGCGAAAGACAGACTAGACGCATCTTCAAGATGTTGATCACATACGTCGATACTCATTTGTTAAGATACATTACAATAGTGGTCAGTTCGTTTTTCACAACGTCGCAAGTCTTGTGCTTACAGTATTATGTATTCCGCAAACAAATTCTCCGTGCGAGCGAGTCTGGAGCAAGATGAATCGCACAAAATCTACCGCCCGAGCCTCTTTATGTACTGATACTGTTCGTGCATTGCTACTGACCTCGCAGTACATCAATGATAATGGAGGAATTGTGGCCTTTGAAGCATCAGATGAGCTTATTGATGAAATGCTTTATGCAATCTATGCAAGAGCGCGGGTCTCAAAGAAATTAGAATTTAAGGATAGCAACGCTACTTTTGGTGATATTGCTCTGACAAAAGAATTGATAGAAATGAGTCGGAGGTCGGATATTTTATTCCGAAAAAATTTTACTGATCTTGAAGAGATTAATTACGAAGAGATCGATAATTTTATGAAAAGCTGTGATACCGATAGTGAGAACGAAGATGTTGCTGATAAATTTATTAGTTTCAAAGATTTTGGAACTACGCTGCCTATTATTGAACAAAATCTAGAATTGATTGCGAAAGATGAAATATGTTATTCAGTGAATGATATCAGTGACAATAATTGTTCTTTGCCTGATAATAATATCAGCTTTCGATTAGTGCCATATGAAGAGCGTAGTTTGATAATTTGCGACAAAAATAATAGCGTCTCTATTAACGATGAGGAAGTCAATCTACAATTTGCGATTTTCGATCAAATTATTTGTAATAAAAATATCGGCAATACATCTGAAAGTATAAGTGTTAGCGTTAATTTGAATCAAGAAGCAACAACAGCTGTTGCGGAAAATAACAGTATTACCGTCAGCGATGAAGACCTAAATCTACAATTTGTAATTTTCTATGAGATTAATAGTACTAAAAATACCACCAACGCATTTGAAAATGTACCTGTAAACAACGATTTTCAGCAAGAAGTAACAACAGCTAATGCGGAGTATTTGTGTATAGTTGAAAGTAAAAATAGTAAACCAGAACAAGAAACTGCTAGCTTGAAAGTAAAGTTTGATTATGGTAATTATTATACTGCTATAAAAGGTTGAAATAGAAAGGAATTAAATAACAATGTTAAATTAAGCGTTGGCGAAGAAGTATTAAATTTTATTGCAGAGTGTGAACCTGTCAAAATTTTTGATGGTATTGACAGTAATTTTGATCGAAAAAGGAGAAAAATAAGAGAAAATATTAAAGACGTCACAACAAGTACCTGTGATTTTCCTATTCAATTAAGAGAAAATAATGGAATAGTGAATAATTGTCTGTATTACATGAAAGCGGAGAATGCAAGAACTTTGGGTCGATTCAGCAGCATTCCCAATTCCATTTTCCGAGATCACCGTACTACAGGAAACGAGAAATCACCTTCGATTATGCCACCAAATTATGAATGTCGTCTTTTTAATAGCGAATATAAGACTCTTGGTGACAATGCATGGGTTGACGGAGAATGTATCGATGCCTTTGGATTTGTTAACGAAAAATTTTGGAAAAACTGTGTATATCTACCTACAGGACAAGCGGCACTTTTATTAGTAGATGGCTATTCCCCAGACCCTAATTAGTTTATGTACCATTTGAGACATCAGTTTAGTGGCAAGATTGTAGCGACTTACGCGAGCAGCGGTCACTGGTGTGCTTTCGTCGCTGATATTGACAAGCGTATAACTTACCACATAGATCCTTACGGAAATAGTAACCTACAAAGATCGAAAATGTGCCATAAAAATTTCTTGGTTTATTTACAATATGTGAAAAATTTTGTTAACGAAGAAAACAATTTACATTTAGTAGATTGGAAAAATGTTTACATCACCGACAAACGCTCGTACCAAGAACCTAGTGATACAGTAAACTGCGGAATTTACCTAATGAATTATTTAGATTATATAGGAAGGAATATTCCATTTAAACTTAACTTCGACCCATTTGATTACAGGATATACGCTTCAAAAATGTTGTTAAAGTTTTCTAAAAATATGGAAGATATTTGCATGTATTGTTTTAGAACGAAACACAAACAATTATATGGATGCGGATTTTGCGAGCGATCTTGCCACACAACTTGTTTGCCGGCTGTTGAACAAATTGAAATTGAATGCAAAGAAGGGAATAGAAAATTAAAAAAAAAAATTTATGTCAATTATTTCGATGGAATGAATGGAAAGAATTGCAAAGCTTGCGATGACTTTATAGTCGAGTGCGAAAATGAGAAAAAAAAAGGCAATCAATATAATATAATTTATTTTTTTAAAATGTGTTCATAATATTAATTGTCTATTATAAAATACAATAAATAATTATTTGACCTAGAATTTTATTATATCCTTTAGATATACTCTGGATGTGATACTGGTATTTAGATGAACAGACAAAACTTTTTACAAGATTTTAGAGAAGATATTCAAACAAATAATAAGAAATTTTTAATTATTTAACAAATTTATTTGCTATTATTTTTAACGCACCTCCCTAATACGATGCAGCGTAGAGTAATATCATCTCTAAATGTTTGTTACTATTAAAATGCAATTACACATTTTTTTTCTTCTATAATTTTTATAATTGTATGATTTATTATTATTCAACTTTAGTAGGTTGAATATGAAAATTTATTTGAAATAAAAAAATTTTTAGTTTGCTACTACCAATACTCGCGCGTAACACATAAAAGAAAATTTCTTTTACCGCATTAAACGCAAATGGATAATAGATTTTATTTAATTAATTATCACAATATCTTTTAGATCCATGAATCTATCATTCACCTATAATGTATTAAATTTCAATAAAAAAGAAAATATTAATCGCATTGAAAATGCTTCGTTGGAAAACGGACCTTAACATGCTCTCGGCTCAAAATCGTAAGCAGTGAAGGCAGCTACAGAGCTCGGGAGCATTTCGCGGCCCACCAATGGTCCCGCCCGTTCCAGGGCGCAATATAAATATCGAATACGTATTCATATGTCCTACCCGTACCCGATATTGTTTACTTTTGACGTATTTATACGTCCCGCTCGGTTAATAGGTTAAAAATGATACGTATAAAGAATTATATTTATAAATTTTCTACGAGTATTTGAATATTCTAAACTATATAAATTTATTGGAAATATTTAATTTATGTTATAAATATTATAAAAAAATTTGCTTCGTTCAGACAAAAACACCACATGAAATGAAAATTTATTTTCCCGCACTTGTATTCCGATTAACACAAAAACGTTTTGAAAACGTTTTTTAGAAAACTTCAAAAGATTTTCTCATTTTGGTAAAAAACGTTTATGCCACTCTAACCTAAAAATCGCAACTCGTTGTTTATTTTCGACTTCTCGTAGTACAAAATATCGTATGCAGCCAGTGTATAAAGGCTTTTTGACTAAATGAATTACAGTAATCGCCTTCGATTCGTGTTTCTTGAAACAAACCTTTCCGTATTCATATATTTAGTCCAGGAAAAATATCTTAAAAATAAGTCTTTAGCGCGATTTGGAGAGCCGGCAAGCTCATATTTTTTGTAGCAGATAAAAAATTGAGTAAAAATTAGGATGATTGGTTTCTGAAAAGACTTGCGACTTATTTGAATTCAAATAAGTCCAGTTCTTGAGAATTAGCTAAGTACATGAAATAAACTAGAAAACCGAAATTTCACTTAATATGATTTTACACTGATAGATTACACTTTGGTTAAGGATTGGATTGAGAGGGTTTAATAATAACGCCAACTTAAAGGGAAAAAGCCAGGACCGGCATAAAAAACCCTTTTTTATTTTAACTAGTTAACAAGAAATTAAACGCGAGAATGAATTCCGCGTTGACGTCGCGGACAATGGTCGCACTCGCGCTCGCACGCGCATTCACTCACGCACACTAGATTAGGTAAAGAGATTCAGGACTTATGCCTGTTTAAACGATTGATTCGAGTGATTGGTTATGATTCGTTATGATGTAAGGACTTATGCCTTTTTAGATGAGAGATAAAGTGCAAGGATGCACGCTGTTCGTTGAACAGGAAAGATGCGAGGGAGCTCCGCACGCTAACCGATGTCGTCGACGACTGCCGGTCAAGCCGGAGGAAGAAAACGATTTTGGCGGCAACGCTACGCAGTGTTGCCACCAAGCTAGTTTCCGGGTTCTAGCTCCCTTTTTACACACACACGTATGCACACATGCACACCCATACATCACGTTCGCATACGCAATTGATCGAACGGAATTTAAGTTACTAACTTCATGTTGCCACGGAACAGTTTCTACCCTCGTCAAAAATGGCGGAAAATTGTTTAATAGCCGGTCAAACGTAGACAAATGGCAGAAATTATCCTTTTTCACGGAGATCGTTTTATATGCCGTTGTTAGGAAAAAATACTTAATATACTTTTGTTCGTTTTTTTAATATATACAAAATGAGATTTCAAATGCTGAAAAATATTTATTAGGTCAAAAGTTATTAACAAAAAACTTATTGTTTATTACAATTAAAATACTTACGAGTTGAGAATAAGATCTTCATATTGTTTCTTTTGATTCTTAGATCATTGTCACGAAATCTGGAATTTGTAAGTTAAAAACTTCGGAAGTTATAGCCTTATAAACAAATTAACTAATAGTTAATTTATAATCTTCGGTGCACATTCTATCATGACGCTGAATTTTTTTTAATAGATTTTAATATTATAAAACGAAAACAAAAATTTTTCTTTGTTT